ATGACAACACAGGTCACTACAAAGGTGCCCCCATCTTATGATGGAAAGACTTCATGGTTTTCCTATGAGGATGCCATAGACGATTGGTGTGATATCACCGAGCTGGAAGATGAGAAGAGAGGACCAGCTTTGAGAAACAGATTAGAAGGAGAAGCAGCAGTATACAAACGTGTATTAGACAGAGATTCATTGAAGGCTAATGAGCCACCAGGAGCAGGAGTAGATTACTTCAAACGAGTACTACGACCATATTTCGTGAAAGGATCAACCAATGTATTCCTATACAGGTTTATGCAATTCGTGCGATTCAATCGAGGATCAGCTGACATGATGAAATGGATGACAAGATTCCAGATTTTACTCCAAAGGCTTATGAGCAGTTGGATGGACATGTTAGAACCAGTCACTCAAGCACATCCCCAAGTCCTTGCTCAGATGCAGGCAGATGCAGCGTTGACTGGAGTAGCACCCACGGCAGAAAGGATTCAGGAAATCATGCAGAATGTCAATGGCAATATGAGAATTCTTCATCAGAATGATTTTCCTTTAGGAGAGAATCTCATTGCCCTACTCATGCTGTCACTTGCAGATTTGTCTCAGGACCAGCGAAACACTTTGACTTCATTGATGACTCATCGTGGCAGGGTCCTGCAGCAGTATACTACAACACAGTTGAGGACAGTGTTCATCGAGATGTTCTGCACAACAAAGACTTCAGTAGACAATCCTTTGATGCAGCCGACAGGTGCTGGAGGTAGAAGATCATTTCTCGTACTAGACGAAGGAGAACTCGATGGTACATTTGGCTATTGGGCCGAAGATGAAGAAGATGGAACAGAAGGATTTTTAGATGCCCTGGACGATGTCTTTTGGGTATATGATGATCAAAACTTCTCGTGGTTCCAAAGGAGATTCCAAGGAAGAAGAGCCAGAAAAGGCAAAGGAAGAGGAAGAAGAAAAGGAAAAGGTAAAGGAAGATCAGGCCGTAGATTCTTCAGACCTCGTGGAAAAGGAAAAGGAAAGAGACGAGGTAAAGGCCATTTTGCTGATGAGCAACAGACAACATATCCAGAAGAGTACTTTGAAGAGAATCCTTATGAGGATACTTGGGAGTCAAACCAAGTAGCATATGATGCCATCCTTGCCGAAGATATGAATGATTATCTTCAAGGAGAATATGATGATGCCAATGACTTCTGGCAACAGCTTGAAGAAGCATGGTTTTCCCACAAGGGAAAAGGAAAAGGCAAGAGAAAGGGCAAGAAAGGAAAAGGAAAAGATAAAGGAGATGGCAAACAAGATGCAAACTATGCAAATCAACAACAGTCACGTTCTTTACCTGCACCTTCAAGAACTTCACAAGCATCAGGAGGTCAACAAGGTTTCTTTGCACATTGTGTGACAGCAGCAGCTGAAGTCCATGACAGTGAGGTGGACTTGCTGTCAGGCATGATGACCTCATGCCAAGATGAAGCTGACTGCGTGGTCCACAATGGTGAGACGATCTTCGATGACATGAGTGCCCCTGTGAGGTACTCGTTGTCAAAGGAGATGCTCACAAAGGCTCCTGATGGCTTTGCGCTTATGAGCGCTGATGGCTTTGCGCTTATGAGCGCTGAGGAAGAAGTGAAGGAGATGCAGGCTATTTCATTTTTGACTGAGAACCGCTTCCCGCCAACTATTGCAATCCTGGACATTGGATGCACTAGAGCTATGGGATCAAGGCGAGCAGTCGACCATTTTTGCAACTATGTCGACAATCACCCAGATTGTGGATTATGGTACTCTTTTGAGTCTACCAAGAGCAAGTTTTACTTTGCCAATTCCCAGAAGGCTACTTGCTCTCAGAAACTGGTGATTTATATGTATGATCGTGCATGGACGATCCACCATACAGAGTTCGACATAGTGGAAGAAGGAGAAGTCCCTTTGCTTATGAGCTTGCCACAGATGAGGAACTTAGGCTTTGAACTCAGGCTGACACCTCAACATGCTTATCTGACATCGGTGCCTCTTGGTATAAAATTTTTGGAGTTGAAGGTTGCAGCTGGTACTCATCTTGTGTTGGACTTCCAAGATATTGCATGGTATCTGTCTGACGTGCGCTGGCAGACTCAGCGTGAGAAGAGTTTTTACTCTCACCTCACTCACTATGAATATGGCCATATTTCTGTTGAACACAATAGTGATGAAGGTGAAGCTGAGCATGCATATCCTGTGGTTGATTTCTGGGAAGTAGATGTTCACAAGAGAGAACTGATACGTCACCACAAGGATTACAGGAAAATTCTTTTCCCAGCAACTAAGTCCTGTCCTGTAGACACTGACTTGCTGGAAGACTTGCGACTGACAATCATCAAGAAGAAAGCAGGAGGAGAAGAAATCAAGAAGACAGATGATTGGCGCAAGGCAAAATGGAAGGACCTACAACTTGGCTATGAATGGCGTGGTAGAACAATTTTTAAATTTAAGCCAGATGCCAAAATTCCAGATCTAAAGATCAGGAAGGCTGGCATTGAGCACCGTGGCATTGGTGATCCCGATGCAGTGGTGCGCTCCTCCTCAGAGAAGGTTCCCATTGCAAAGGACAGGGAACCAGGCTTCTCGTCAGAGAAGGAAGGTGCACCATCCAGTGCCGCGGAAAAGCCCGTGCCGCCAAAGTTTCGGTATACTTCCAAGGGTTTTGATCCATTTTGGAAAGGACACAAGTCAAAACCATCTGAGCCTCAGAATGATTTAAAGGGTGATGATCTTGAGGAGTATGCTCCTTCAGAACCACCTGAGAGGCCAGAAGGTGAACTTGTAGAAATTCCTAAAGCATCAAAAGGACCATCAAGTGATAAACATGAACCACTTGAACCAGGTGATGGCGCTCTTGAGCCTAGGCGGATTTCAATCCCATTACCTGGTAGTGAAGTTGTTGCAATGACACCGGCATATAGGAAGATGTTACAGAGACTGGAGGACAAGGTAGAGCTTTATAAGCTTCATGTGAAGCACTACCATATGAGTCCTACTCAGTTTCGTAGACGTGTTTCTATGTTGAAGCTTCCTGACTCTGTTTTAGAGAAGTATGAATCAGTTGTCAGGAACTGCCGTGTTTGTAACACTTCAGTGGCACCTCCGCCACGAGCCAGAGTCTCCGGTATTAGAGCTTCATGTTTTGGTGATGTTGTTTTTGCTGATCATTGTGAGGTTGAACTTCACAAGAACAAGTATATCATTCTACTTGTTCTTGATGGTGCCACAAATCTTCTCTGGGCTACGGCACAGAAAGACCTCATAGATCAAACCACCATCCAAGCATTGAGGCAATGGTCTGATGAGAACAATTGTGTTCCGAAGGCCATCGTAGGAGACGAAGCCTTTTTCACAGATGCTTTTGTTGAATACTACAGGTTCCATGGTATACAACAATGTCCTTGTGGGCCAAGAACTCCTTGGCCGAACCGAGCAGAGACAGCTGTACGTTTGTTCAAACGTATGTGGCATGTTATGAAGGTAGATCTGGATGACCCACGTTTTCGTGGTGTTACGGTCAGAGAAGTGGTCAAGAAGGTAGTTTGGGCAAGAAATTGTCAGTTGACTATCAGTGGATATTCACCAATAGAGATAGCAACTGGAAGACGTCCACCAGATCTTTTTGACCTTGAGACCGCAAGCCCTGAGCAATTGTCAGCTAATGCCGCCGCACAAGATCGTACAAATTTGGAACTACAACGTGTGGCTTTGAGAGCTCATCAAGAAGCACGACAAGCTCAGGACCTTCGAGCAGATCTTGCAAGAAGGACTATGCCAAGTGACGGTCCTTATTTCCAAGGAGAGAAGGTTTTTGTTTGGACTCAGGATTCATCAAAGTTCAAGGATAAAGGACGTTGGGTTCGTGCCACAGTACTTGGACAAGAAGGAGCTATGGTCCAAGCCAATACTGGTAAGACAGTGATACGTGTGAATCAGTCAAAGGTTAGACGTGATCACGATGAGTGGCATGATGTTTCCATTCCGGCATTAGACGATGAGAATCCGGAGAACTTACGTGAAGATCACGAATTGTATGTTGATGCCGAATTTGGAGAACAGTCCTTTTTCTTTTGTAATGATGATCATCCTGATGTTGTTGAGTTACTTCATGGAAACAGTGGATTATCTTGGTTCCTTTCAAAGAATGGTGTTAGAGTTGCATCGCCTATGGATTTCAAGGCAGGATACAACTTTTCCACTATGAAGGG